CCAGAGAAAAACACCCGAGCGATACAGCCAAATAAAGGAGAGGAAAAACACCCCAACCATTGATTAAACAATAACATTAAATGGCAGAATATGATCTCGTTTATTGCTGTAATACGTCGCGTTCCGCCGTGACTCAGGCGGCGCTGCAATTTCTGAGGCCATCAGCAGTAACTGAGCATTAGCCGGGATGAATAATTAACAATAATTTCATGGAAAATGCCCTCGTAAGTAACATTAACATTGAACATGCAGCTCGATCTGTTACTGGTTTCGCTTTATTTAGAGGGTGCGATGATTATTTTTTCCATGAGCACCGGCAGCCCCAGCACGCACTGGCCCTGCTGCAAAGGAAGCAGCATGGGGGGAGTTTGGGGAGGGGGGGGAGATGCCGTCAGTCCATCCTTTCAGGCTGGTCACTGCAGCTACTGCCACTTTGCAGCATGCCTGACCCAGTAAACCAGCCCGAGACCCTCGCTGGGCAAAGCTGAGCCCCTTCCCGCAGCCCACCCTGGGGAAAGGGACCAGCCTGGGTGCATGGCTGAGGGTGCTGAGGGCAGGATGGGAGGGCAGGGCAGGGATGGCACCGGCCGCCCCATGAGGGTGGGGGTGGTGGAGGAGCCCTGGGGGGATCCCTGTCACCAGCCCAGGGCCCTCTGGGCACACGGTGGCTCTTTGCGAAGACGCCGGCGAGTTTGGAGACCTCTGGGGCAAGAGGCAGATGGTGAAATACAGGTGGATCTCTTCCATCTCCTTTAAGTGAAGCTGTTCTGAACTCTCCCTCCTGCCCGCTCTCGATGCTGTGCTTGGCGGAGTCGCCACCTGAACATTTACTTCACTGAAACCTTTAACACCAGAGGATACAAGCTGCTCTTTGTGCGCGAGCCGTTGCCTCGATTTAAAGAGCTCGGGCTGGGCTGTTTGTTTTCCGGCAAGGTTGGCCGCTGTTGATGGAGGCTGTCCTCGACTGGCACAACGCAGAGGTGTTCCCCGGCTGCAAGCGCTGATCGCCGCAGAGATGAGACCCAGAGCAACCACCCTGCCCCGCTCCCACGCATCCACGCAGCAGCCGGAGCTGCTGCCCGTTGCGAGAGACCCGATGATCCAGTTGGTGTTTGTTGTTGGGCGGCTTTCTCCCTCTCCGAGCGAGCGTTGCAGCCACCCCGCAAAGCTCCGGGTGCCTTGCGCCACCCGGGATTGGGATCGGTGATGGCTGGTCAGGCAAACGGGGAGGTTTGGCTGCTTCTTTCTGGTGTTCTGTGCTCTGCACCAAGGGGAGATGAGGTTGGTGCTGCAGATGTGGCTGGAGACCATGCCACATCCTGGGACACAGCGGGCTGAGTTCAGAGACAAGGCCGGTGATGGTGCTAAAGAAAATAAACTCAGGGATGTCACAAAAGCTGGGTATTTCCCAGGCTTCACATCATCATACAGCAGGTTGCATTTACTTGAGGGGTGCCCAGAAGGCCCTCTGAATATTGGGGAGAGAGGATTTAAACCAAACCCATCCCTAGCTCCAGCCCAGCCAGGGACGTGGAAGGACTTGCGTGCACGGTGGCACAAGTCAGGACAGCCCTCCCCTTCCCAGTGGCGCCTTGTTTATTCCCTGCCCAAAAATCGCCTGTTTGCTGGGAATTGAAGAGCAACTCTTTGATTTACGTCCAGCATGCCGGAGTGAGCGGCTGCCCCAGCTGTCAGCTCCCAGGCTCCTTTGACTCCCGTGCCCCAGCGCTTGCCGGGGAGGTCTCCTCCCCAGGGACATGGCCCCGGAGCGGGACAGCGGGGATGTTGTCAGCAGGCAGGGAGCTGGGATCAAAGGCAGGGCTGGATCGTCCCAGCCTCGGCGAGCAGCTGAGTGCTCTGTCCTGCAGTGCTTTTAAGACTCTTTTTAAGAGACTTCGAGGTTTTCCTGCTGGTTTGGTGGCCGCCTGCTCCACTGCTAGGTATTTTCCTTTATGGAGAACCCGAGGTTGGGCTACTGCAAGTCACTGGGTGTTTTTAGTGCTCACATCTGGCACTGAAACCCTTCACCCATCACCCCCCTGAGCTGGAGTAGGGTGACATGCCCCTGGCACGTCCCCAGAGCTCCTCCAAGGTCTCCCAGATGCTGAGACCACACCATGTTGGCGCTTTGTCCCTGTGCCTGCACCGGATCAGTCATCAGAGGGATGGAGGGGGAGCGCAGGGACTTGCCCTTTGCTGGGACACCCAAATACCTACAGAACACTGCAAAATATGAGCTGTTTCTGTTTCCCACCCAACTGCCTTAGGGGAAATCTTCTGCCTGTGCCAAAAGGCACCTGAACTTTCTCACCACGGCCTTTCCAGAAATGCCGAGATTGCAGGTTTTACAGTGGGGTAGGGAGCTGCTGCCTTCGCAAGAAACCAGACCTGTTGGGTGGTTCTCACCGTCTTCCCTCTCCCCTGGGATTTTCATCTCGAAGGCCACAGCCCCCAGATTCCTGCGGATCTCCTGCCACTCCGGCTCTCTACAGCATAGCTCAAATTCCTGATCCTGTTGATAGGACTGCGCAAAGGCAGCTCCTGGGTGAGGGGAGGCTCCCAGCCAAAGCCCTTGCTCTGCTCTCACCTGGGATACAGGTGCCTGTGTCTGCCCCCTCCTCCGAGCTCACCCCACTCCGCACTCCCGGGCTCCCAGGAGGGTCTGCTTTGAGTTTTTTGAGCTCCCATTCCTGTGGTCTCTCCCCGCTGTTTTCCCAGTCCAGCAATGCGCACACACACTTTATTTGATGTCCTGGAGCCAAAGGGCTGCTGGGTGAGCGGCTCCTTGTCCGCCACGAGTGTGGGGTGCAAACCTCTCAGGGCATCAAGCACCCTGCAGCGCTCTTCAAACACATCCTCGTGGGAGGGGTGGCCCTGGCGAGGCGCCGTGTGGGGCTCCACAGGCCAGGGAGTGCCTGGGAAAAGGCCAGGAGAGCCCCAGGGCAGACGAGAGACCTGGTAAACCACGGGCAAGCGGAAACACATTCCTACCCAGGCCACGTCTGCAGAGGCGTGAAATGGGACTGTGCCAAGGGGGAAGAGGCTGCCCAGGCAGGGAGGGGCTGACTTGGGTGCTCTAGGGAGAGGGACACCCCCCTTAGGGACACATCCTGGGTCCCCCATGGGGACTCCGCTGCCATGAGTTGCCACCCGGTCTGTGCCACTCTTCGGGAAAGGTCCCATCCGGGACTATCCGTCGCTGACAGGGCGGTGGCTGCAGTTTGATGTAGGTTGGAGATACCGATGAGCTGTTGCAAAACTATTACTAAGGTAAAATCACTTAAAAACTGGGTGATGGTTGCATAATCAGTGATTCTTAGCGATGGGAGCTGGCTGACCCGTAGCTGGGGGACGGTGAGAACCCGGTGCTGGTCCCTGGTCACCCTGGTCTTGCCCAGAGCCACCCGTGCTGGGGATGGAGCATCACCTGGCAGGAGCCGCTGGCGCAGCTTGCAGAGGAATCTGGTTCCGTTGATCTCACTGCAGGATTTGACCCGCCTTTATTGTTCAACCGGAGCGTGTGTGTGCATGTGCGCAGACAAGAACCTCTACAGGAGCTGTTTGCCAGACTCACCCAGTTACTGGGAACAGAACAAACTACCCTTCCCTCCACACACGTACTCAGCGCTGAGGACAAAACCTGGGCACGCAGGAGGGCTCCGGACGACACAGCCAGCA